TGATATCAAGAAAAATCATTCAATGTGAGCACTAGAAGGGTCTGATTATAATATCTCCCAAGTTTCTAGAAAATTATGAAGAAGGGATGCCTACTGCCTACTCGGGGAACCGGTCATTAGGGCCCATACAAGTTATAATGGGGCTCCCCAGACTGATTGCCTACACCAGTGATGAAAGGACCATTGGCGGGCTCAGCCCGCATGTTACGAGCTGTTGTAGTGATGAAAGTACCGTTGGCAGGCTAAGGCTGCATGTTACGAGGTTAGCAGATGCCTTATTACAGTGGAAATGTTAGAGCCTTATTAAGGAAGGTGCACTGATGTGTGTTTTCAACAGGCCTTGGTAATGTAATTTTGAAGAAATTGGTTAAGTTCAGGTCATAGCTACGAGCCATACGGCACAATGAATGAGTTTGCATAAGGAAGAGGCTTTTATTTTGAAGAATCCCTGTAGTCTTATTTTTAAGGGTCTACCATTGATGTGTGTCAAGGGAAGGGTCATGCCCGGCAGTGATATAGAATCCCTTTCTAAATGTGAAATCACTGGTTTTCCATGTTATTGGGTGAATAAATGCTGTATTAGAGCGACTTTTATTGTGAAATTTGCTGTGGGGAATGTTTTGAAAAGGTCCCTAGAGACTAATAGAACTAAGCTGGTGGAGTTTGGGTCATAAATGCTGAGCCATTCGCATCAATTAGTCTGGAGTCTTATTTTGAAAGTCTATCAGGGTTGTGTGTCAAGTAGGGGTGGGTATTGCCAAAGAAGTCACGATTCGATTCGAATCACGATTCACAGGCCACGATGCGATTCTATCACGATGCATCACGATACTTGAATTATTGCGATGCATTGCAATATTTTCTCCTCCATGTTTTGTTTTTGAATGACTCGGCACAGTATCCCACGGCCGGAAATGCTTGTGACACAAGGCAGCGTGCGTCAACACATTTGCAGCGACATCTACTGGACTGGAAGTGGTATTGCACTTGTTTTTGGCTGATGTTCGCCAACCATTCATGCAATTTTATTTATTCATTTTTTTAAATTAATAATCGATTCTTGGCATCAAGAATCGATGCAGTAGTTCACGAAAATTAGAATCACGATGCATCATCATCACGATTATTTTGCACACCCCTAGTGTCAAGGGAAGGGTAATGCCCAGTAGCCATCCATCCATCCATCCATCCATCCATCCATCCCACTCACCCATCCATCCATCCATCCATCCATCCATCCATCCATACATCCATCCCACTCACCCATCCATCCATCCATCCATCCATCCATCCCACCCATCCATCCATCCATCCATCCATCCCACCCATCCATCCATCCATCCATCCATCCATCCATCCATCCATCCATCCATCCATCCATCCATCCATCCGCTTATTCAGGGGTCGGGTTGCGGAGGTTGCATCTTCAGTAGGGAGGCCAGACGTCCCTCTCCGCAGCCACTTCGGCCATCTCCTCTGGGGGAATCCCAAGGCGCTCCCAGGCCAGCCGAGAAACATAGTCCCTTCTGCGTGTCCTGGGCCTCCCCCTGGTTCTCCTCCCGTTGGGACGTGCCTGGAACACCTCACCAGGGAGACGCCCAGGAGGCATCCTAACCAGATGCCCGAGCCACCTCAATTGGCTCCTCTCGATGTAGAGGAGCAGCGGCTCTACTCTGAGTCCTCCCCGGATGACTGAGCTCCTCACCCTAACGTTAAGGGAGAGCCCAGACACACCACGAAGTAAACTAATTTCAGCAGCTTGTATCCGGGATCTCATTCTTTCGGTCATGACCCAAAGCTCATGAACATAGATGAGGGTAGGAACATAGATCGACCAGTAAATCGAGAGCTTTGCTTTTTGGCTCAGCTCTCTCTTCACCACAACAGACCGGTACAGGGCCTGCTTCACAGCAGGCGCCGCACCAATCTGCCTATCGATCTCCCGCTCCATCTTCCCCTGATTCGTAAACAAGACCCCAAGATACTTAAACTCCTCCAGTAGGTGCAGCACTTCCTTCGCAACCTGGAGAAGGCACTCTACCCTTTTCCGGCTCAAGACCATGGTCTCAGATTTGGAGGCAATGATCTTCGTCCTGATGAAGCCAAAAGAACCACATCATCTGCAAATAACAAAGATGCAATCCTAAGGCCACCAAGACAGATTCTCTCAACACCTTGGCTGCGCCTAGAAATTCTGTCCATAAAAGTTATGAACATAATCGTTGACAAAGGGCAACCTTGGCAGAGTCCAACCCTCACCGGAAACGAGTCAGACTTACTGCCGGCAATGCGGACCAGGCTCTAACACCGGTCATAGACCATAGACGGTCAGAGACCTAACAGCCCCTATTTCATGGCCAGTAGTCATTTCCAAATGTTAAATCAGTTGTTATCCCTCCATTAGATTAATATATGCTGAATAAAGTGGCAGAGGTAAAATCCCTTTGAAGTTCCATTACCTTGACGATGCCTAATGAGCCTGTCAGTGACAGAGAGAGATACGCAGCACTATTTTTCCTTTCCTCTCAGGTTTTTCTGAATGGGAAAATGGCTCAGTACAAACGAGTGCTGCAGAAGTAAATGGTATCCAAAAAATAGAAAATTACGGTTTGCCTTCAGTAAATGTTTTTTTTTAGATACCAAACGATAAATGGTATCTAAAAAAAAATATTTGAGCGAAAACCGTAAATGGTATCTGAAAAATTGTTTCACCATGAGCATCAGCTATCCCTCGACTTTGATTGTGCTAACTTTCATGTTTCTACTAAAAACTATGAGGACACAGTGACGATGTAAAAATGTGGTTTGTTTCAAAAGATTTCAGTCTGGGCCTTTTTCCCAAAATCATTATTTTCCTATGCCAGAACAGCTCAGCTAAAATGTTAAACCATAAATGATATCAAAAAAAGTCCTTCAATGTGAGTGCTAGAGGGATCTGGAGATGTTTTATACCAACTTCCATGTTTGTACATGAAATGGTTAACAAGTCGCAGCAATACGAAAACAATTGTTATTTTGGATTTCGTCTGCGGCTCTTTGAAACTCTTTCATTGGATTTCTATTGGGGGAGTGTGGAGTTCTTTGTGGTCTGGGCCAAACTACAGGAAAAGAGTAAATCCCACACAAATGAGGGTAACATTTCCTGAATCCTAAGAAAAATTCCTACATTTTGGTGTATAATTTATTTAAATTGAGTGAAAAATGAGGGAGTGAGAAGAATTTGTTCTGAAAAACCAGAACAGCTCAAAAGCTAAAGCACGCACTCTAGCACTCTAGCAGTCCCCCCTTGGACTTACATTATAAAATTGAAAACCTGAAATTTTTTTATAAAATGGAATCACAATTTTACAAAAACCTGTAAAAGATATCAAAACGCTGACTAAAACAGAAATAGTTTAATATTTGGAGAACATCATAAAAGTTGAATGGTGTTTCTAGCTGAAAGTATGCTGAAGTAGTCCAAACAGCCTGAACTTTTAGCTGAATTTTGTTGAAATCTGAGAATTCTACATGCATTTCAATGGGGGGAAAAAATGCAGAAAAAGCTGAATATGACGAAAGCTGACGAAAACAAATATCTTTACCAGAAGATATGGCATAATTCTCCTGAACAAGCCAAACGTTTTGTTTCCAAAATTGGAACCGCAGTAGTTAAAGTCAGAAAAAAAAAGAGCAAAACAATAAGTGGGAATGCAGAAGCATTAGGAGTGATGTGTCTGTGAAGCAGCAGGATGCAGGCTAGTAAGCAGAACAGCAATTAACTAAGTGGCTAATGTTAGCTTGTTCTATTTGTGTTACCCTGTAAATATCTAAACAAGCCATGAGGATAACAATTTTAACAATAGGAGTCTTTATGTAACGGTATGCATTAATAGGGTGTACCTATTAAAACATGGAGGCACCTGGTGCAAAACCAACAAGGAAACGTAGATGAAGCTAATCAACAGTTACAAGTTACGTTGTTGACTTTAAACAGAAACATCAAAGATTCATAGAAAATGCCAATTTATTGCTAATTCTTCACTTTTAAACCAGTTGCTCCACCCTCTGCACCATCTCCATTAGACAATCAACTCTTACCTGGTTTCCCCCCACCGCTCTGTTAGCTCCAATTAATCTGAACTGATTATTTCATAATCCTGCTCTGAGTCATCCTTCAGTCACATCTATGCCTACTTTGTGCTGGTCGAGGTTTGGGGCATTCAATACGTGGAGGACAATTTGCTGGTCAATTGCTCCTGAATACCGAATCAGCAGCTGGCAGCTGGATGTGCCAAACTGGCAACCATGCAGGGATTACACAAGCCCTTCCTATGATGTCATTTTGATGACAAAAATTCAACCACTACAAAAAAACTAATCACACCTTTGCTGATTTCATAGGAGCTAAGATAGAAGCAGCAGCTAAAAGCTGTTGACAAATGAAATTATCATTAATAGATTATAAAGTCTGGTTTTATGGGTCATTTTGGAGGAAAACAGCACAGCAGCCAAACGCCTCATTTCACCTACATTATGCAGTGGTGTGCATAAACTCTCTGAAGGGCAGGAGGGAATAAAAAAAATAAAGGGAATGTATAGCGAGTCTTCAAGGCTGTAGAGGGCACTTTAGCATGTGTGTTTCAACAATTGGGCCACAAGGGGGGGCAGACTCTCCCTGCAGGGCTTTAAATTGCCAGTTTTTACTTGCATTTTAACAAAAAGTAGTTTGGTGTGAACAATGGCAGTTTCTGATACGGGCGACATGGGCAGCCGTCCAACTCGGCTTTGCCATATAGGGCGGCATTGGCAATGAGACCCACCGGCCGCGTGCACGCCCTCACGCTCAAGCATGTGTAAATAATATGAATCATTATAATTAGTGGCATGCCACAGATTAACCCCCACCATGCAGGTGCTCCAGCATGCACTCCCTCTAGTGCATGAGACTGTTTGAGTTCAGACTGCTGCAAGGGCGAGCTCTGAGTCACATGGAGTAATAGGCTTCCTGCTCCCCTTACTTGTTATCGCAGTAGGTGAACTTCATGTCCATGCTGTGTCGGCTCAGGAACGTCCTGCTGTCCAGCGGGGCATCAATGTTGGACGGGTGCGGGATGGGTTCGCACATCAGGACAGCACAGGTGAGCGGAGGCTCCTTGTAGCCACAGAGGACTCGTGACGGGCAGCCGTCGTACATCTTCAGGTGGCCGGTGCAGTGCAGCACCTATGAGGGCAGACGTCTGGGTTAAACTGACTGGAATAATTCACATGTAGTCCATCCTTAAACTAATACATTTACATTTATCTATGTGGGAAATTCTTTTCATGTGCTTTATGCACAACTCAATACTGAACTTAAAGCAGCTTCTTTGTTTCCCGTCTTTCTCTCTTGGATGAGCCGTTTAAACTAGGTGTGACTGGCCATTGTCGCCATGGTTACCGACGCCATACACACCTGGCTTAAAAGTAGAGTAGAGGATTTTCACACATTTTTGAAAAGACTTGTCCTCTCTCTAGTTAAAAAAGAAATGCACGTGCACAACCCTGTACCAGCTACTGAGAGGGAACGCCTATTAAACGCGTGCGAGAGCGTTTACCACCTCGTGCACACTCTGTTTAAAAGCTGCTGTTTGCTCATAGAAGCTTAGTTTTCAAAAGAAGATTTGCAATTTTTTCCACTACTGTATGTCAGACTCACTAGCAGTAAGTGAAAATGGGGACAAGCATGTAGGACTGCCTTTTGTAAACATATCACCAGAATGATTAACAGTTAAGAGCACCACTGATTTAGATGATCCACCCAGAAAAGAACATCCTCCACTATACCTTTAATCAGGTCATACATTAGGGAAAGACAGGAAAACAAGGAGCTGCCTTAAGTTCAGGTTAGTAGTCGAGTTCGGCATAGAGCCCATTTGTATGGATATTATTACCTACCAAGTGAATATGCATCCATTTTAGATCCTGAAGGCCTTTACAATAAAATCTGATGAATCCCTTTAACATCTGCAGACCTTACCTTCCAGCTTGCTGACTTGAGATTAACAGTGCGCCCTCTGTTGGTCACTGTGCATTTCATCCTCATGAAGAAGTCTCGCTCTGTGCTCAGGTCTTTGCTTTTCTTATGGAGGCTCCCTTGAAGACAAAACAAAGCTCATGTTGCACACCGCAAACGCATTCTCTACAGCAATGCAAAAGACCAGCAAGACATACATTGTTTCATTTTTATTAATTAATGCATAAGTGGAGGAATTCTATTCATATGTTTTAAATAATTTTTTTAAGTATTCAATTTACCATTCTGAAGGTATTTCTAAGTAACTTATGGTAGATCTAATCATATACAGGTGCTGGTCATAAAATTAGAATATCATGAAAAAGTAGATTGATTTCAGTAATTCCATTTAAAAAGTGAAACTTGTATATTATATTCATACATTACATACAAACTCATATATTTCAGATGTTTATTTTGTTTAATTTTGATGATTACAAATGACAACAAATGAAAATCTCAAATTCATCATATCAGAAAATTAGAATATTGTGAAAAGGTTCAAAATTGATGGCCCCTGGTGCCACACTCTAATCAGCTAATTAACTCAAACCACCTGCAAAAGCCTTTAAATGGTCTTTCAGTCTAGTTCTATAGGCTACACAATCATGGGGAAGACTGCTGACTTGACAGTTGTCCAAAAGACGACCATCGACACCTTGCACAAGGAGGGCAAGACACAAAAGGTCATCGCTAAAGAGGCTGGCTGTTCACAGAGCTCAGTGTCCAAGCACATTAATAGAGAGGCGAAGGGAAGGAAAAGATGTGGTCGAAAAAAGTGTACAAGCAAGAGAGATAACCGCACCCTGGAGAGGATTGTGAAACAAAACCCCTTCAAAAATGTGGGGGAGATTCACAAAGAGTGGACTGCAGCTGGAGTGAGTGCTTCAAGAACCACCACACACAGACGTATGAAAGACATGGGTTTCTGCTGTCGCATTCCTTGTGTCAAGCCACTCTTGAACCACAGACAGCGTCAGAAGCGTCTTGCCTGGGCTAAAGAGAAACAGGACTGGTGAGTGGTCCAAAGTCATGTTCTCTGATGAAAGTAAATTTTGCATTTCCTTTGGAAATCAAGGTCCCAGAGTCTGGAGGAAAAGAAGAGAGGCACTTCATCCACGTTGCTTGAAGTCCAGTGTAAAGTTTCCACAGTCAGTGATGGTTTGGGGTGCCATGTCATCTGCTGGTGTTGGTCCATTGTGTTTTCTGAGGTCCAGGGTCAACGCAGCCACATACCAGGAAGTTTTAGAGCACTTCATGCTTCCTGCAGCTGACCAACTTTTTGGAGATGCAGATTTCATTTTCCAACAGGACTTGGCACCTGCACACAGTGCCAAAGCTACCAGTACCTGGTTGAAGGACCATGGTATCCCTGTTCTTAATTGGCCAGCAAACTCTCCTGACCTTAACCCCATAGAAAATCTATGGGGTATTGTGAAGAAGAAGATGCAATACACCAGACCCAACAATTCAGAAGAGCTAAAAGCCACTATTAGAGCAACCTGGGCTATCATAACACCTGAGCAGTGCCACAGACTGATCGACTCCATGCCACGCCGCATTGCTGCAGTAATACAGGCCAAAGGAGGCCCAACTAAATACTGAGTGCTGTACATGCTCATACTTTTCATGTTCATACTTTTCAGTTGGCCAACATTTCTATAAATCCTTTGTTTTTATTGGTCTTCAGTAATATTCTAATTTTCTGATATGATGAATTTGAGATTTTCATTTGTTGTCATTTGTAATAATCAAAATTAAACAAAATAAACATCTGAAATATATGAGTTTGTATGTAATGTATGAATATAATATACAAGTTTCACTTTTTAAATAGAATTACTGAAATCAATCTACTTTTTCATGATATTCTAATTTTATGACCAGCACCTGTAATCGTGCATTTTACAATTTCCTGGTAGCCTTTATTTAATATTTTCATTATGTATTTAATAAACAAATAAATAAATGTGATATTGAGATATTTCATGGTTTATTTATGCATTTCATGGGATATTCAGATTTATATATTTCGCCCTCCAATTTCTTAAAGGATAACATCACAATGATTGTGAAAACCATCTCATTACACCCCTCCTAAATGAAGGATCTATTTTATAAAAATCTTAATGTGGACTGAGGGAAAAAAGATTGATGATTTCACAGATATCTAGCTATAATAAGGAACTATATCAATAAAGTGTCATTAAAATGCAACACACATTAACCTTGTCTTATTAAAAAGCATATGATTTGTTATACTTTGCCTTAATCTACATACTGCATACATCTAATTTGATTAGAAAGACAGTAGTATGAGTCCTACACATCAGTAGCTACAGATTGGATTCAAGCTGTGTCATAATCAGAAAAAAGAGCAACTATGATAAAAACTATATTTATAGTTATATAAATATCATATTTATATCCTGCTTTGAAGTAAAGTATGAAATCATGGTCAGCTGTGTGCCTATGTTATACCAGCTAAAACCGAGCAAGTCTCCTCTCTGCTCTCTTCGCTCTGACTGCATGCAGGCCTTTCAGGTGAGGCAGCTGCCTGTGCCTGTGAGACAACACTTAGGCTACGTTCACACTGCAGCCTGAAGTGACCCAATTCCGATTTTTTTGCCCATATGTGACCTGTATCAGATCTTTTTATGACAGTCTGAACGACACAGATCGGATTTTTTCAAATGCGACCCAGGCCACTTGGATATGTGGTCCTGAATCCGATACGTATCTGATCTTTTCAAATGCGACCTGTGTCTGTACGGCCAGGTCGCATTCATCCGACCTACACGTCATTGATACTTGACAAATGTTACTAAACGTTACTAATCTGCGTCCTACTAAGCGGAGGCGGGAAAAACTAACAACCATTGCGGAAGATAACACAGAGAGCAGTCAATGGAGAGAAAGTGAGGTTGCTGACTTACCCCAGGCTCACACCGACTCCGGTCTTACCGTTGCGGTGCGGTGGGTGCGGCGCCGCAGTGATTCCAAGTCATTAAAAAGACGTAAACCTCTCTCACCGGCTGCTGAGCTGTCCGGCTGCGGTTACCGAGACACTCCGTCGCTGCAGAAAATTCCGCAAGAAAGCTATCCTTGCGGCGTGCCGGAGCCCTCCGCAACAAGCTCTCGCAAAAATCCTTTATTTGGGCCGTGTTATCGCGTGAAGTTACGTGAACTCAAGTGAACTTCTGTTAAATCTCCGGACCTGTTGCCGGAGCCGCAGAGCCGCACCGCACCGTAGTCAAAAGGGCGGTGTGAGAGGGGGTGTGCGGGAGTTGGGGTCTCCGTCAGCTCGGTAACCGCACCGGAGCCAGTGTGAGCAAGGGGTTAATTCATATTTGGGAGATAGCTCGATTCAGATCAAACTCGAAGGGTCTTACCGGAACCTGGCTCTCTTTCTTTTTGATCTTCTTAAAAAGATTTCGTTCGTAATGTGCCTGCTCCTGTTGGAGAAGAACTTAAAGAACGCAATATACGCTGCGGTATTACGAGTCATGTTTACTTCCGCAAACACTGAGGACGCTTGCTACATGTGACGTCATCGCGTCCTCGAGTGCGCATGCGGGACACTTCAGTTGAACGCTTTCAGTTCACACAGTAGATCACATACAAGTCGCATATACTTGGAAGTGTGAACGGACACGCAAAAAAATCAGATTTCACAAAAAAAAATCGGAATTGAGGATTAAGGCCTGCAGTGTGAACGTAGCCTTAGGGAAGCAGAGAGAAACTCGGGCAGCTCTCAGCTCCTGTCACATATTTATTAGTAATGCTAGAATGATTGCTGCTTTCATTTGAACTACCTGAACTCACCAGAAAAGTCATTAGGTTTGTCTCTAGTTATTTATTCTTTTGAAAAAATGTAAATAAATAAATAAATAAATATATTTGCCATACGGGTCTGAAGAGTACCAGAATACATCTCCAGCCATCTTTCTCTACTGAAAGCAGCACAGCTTCATCTATTAGCCAGGAGCCATAGGTGTTGGCTTTTCAAAATGAAGTTAATGTTAACATTTCATGATATTTAAACATCATTTTAAACATTTATTATGATAATGCTATATTCTGCGCTTTACATTGTTTTAACATATTTTTTCCCTCATACTGAAGTTGGTGGCTTTTATTTAGTCTGAGCTAAAATTAGCTACATGTAACGGAAATCATGCATTTTTTGTCATAGAGTATATAAGTCACTATAAGTGTGAATGACTAAATGTTCTAATTCCAGATACTATTTCTTAACAATAAATCAACTTTAGTGTTTATATCTTTTTCTACAGTTGCCAGCAGCCAAATGCTTGCATGATGTCCTTAAATAACAAAAACCTAAACTCTTGAATTTGATTCGATCTGAATGGTTCATTTGTTTCCCTGTTTCTAAAGATATCTTTTCTTTCTCCATAAAAAAAAGATTATCAACATTATATGTGGAACAACAACTTGTTTTAAGCCCCTACTCATATCAAATTATTTATTTCTAATTCATTTCCAGCTGTTAGGTAAAATCCAACAAACGGCATTTCCCTTTAAGCCCAAACTTAATTTTTTAGTTTAAAAAAACTCCAACTGGTCTAAAAAGTTTTGCTATTGTTTCTCATTCTAAGAAATGTATTTTCTCATTACTGCAGTGTAAATCTCGCTACTTGTCGGTAAACTCTAAAAGAAGTTAAAGTCAACACTGCTGATATCTGCCTTCCCATGTGTGAACTGGAAAGTAGCCCAGGAAGACGTGGAACTGGTTTGGCTGTTACATCACGGGGTCAAAGTTCAGCTGGGGGACCGAGCGATGTGTGGCGTCTTTCACGAGCGCTACGGTCACGAGTTCTGGTGTCTTTATCTTCACCACAAACAGAGTAAAATGCCTCTCTGAGCTCAAACAAGGCGCACATGTAAACACGAGGAGTACGCAGCTAATGGAAGAGGACTGTAAACCAGATGGCGCACTTCTGCTTTAGAGATTATAAGTGGTTGTTAAAGGGGGAGGGATGTTATTCCAGAATAAAAAAACAAAACAAAAACAGCTTGTTTAACAGATTTCTATATTAATTAGCAAAGCAGAACCAATTTCTTCTCTAAGACAAAGTGTAAAATCTAAATTTTGAGAAAGCCTCCCCATAATACAACCTGTTCCAGTTTATGTAAATATCACAGATAGAGTAGCAGCCATTCAAAATGGCCCTTACCAGCCGAATGGCAGCCCACTTCCCTGCAACTCCATGCAGAATCCCCCCAAACTTCCAGCCAATGGAGTGACCCCCTTCTTGCATATTTTTTACTCTGACTCCCCCCTTTTACTGAATTACAGGGTCTGACCAGGAGATGATGCTTCCCTTTAGATCTTTATGTCCACAAATCATAACATAAAAAATATCCAGCCAGTGAACAATACCTCCTTAACAATCATAGACAGGTTTCAGTTATTACAGGAGACAATCCCCCCCCCTTTAACGACCGACCTTCAGAATCATAGACAGGTTTCAGATATTACAGGATAAAAATGACACCAAACGACCCACTCATTGGTTTCCATTTGAATGTTTCAAGCAATACAAGGCCTTGTCTCTATATAGTCTCAAACTCACTGCGGATCCAGATATTTGAATTGAGAAAGCTTCCTGGAGAGGTGGCGAAACGTCTTCAAATCTTGAACAACAAGTCCAGTGGATTTTTCGAACTTTTACGGAATGACATAAAAAATATTTAACTACAAAGATTGATGTTTGAAAAGGAATCAGAATCAGACATACTTTAATAATCCCAGAGTGAAATTACTTAATTGTAGGGGACCAGCCAAGGACCAGCCAAGGACCATCCAGGGACCAGCAAGAGACAAGCCAGGGACCAGCCAAAGACCAGCCAAGAGCCAACCAAGGACCAGCCAAGGGCCAGCCAAGGGCCAACCAAGGACCAGCCAGGGACCAGCCAGGAACCAGCCAAGGGCCAACCAAGGACCAGCCAAGGGCCAGCCTGGGACCAGCCAAGAGCCAACCAAGGGAAAAGCCAGGGACCAGCCAAGAGCCAACCAAGGCCCAGCCAGGGACCTGCCAGGGACCAGCCAAGAGCCAACCAAGGGCCAGCCAAGGGCCAACCAAGGACCAGCCAAGGGCCAGCCAAGGACCAGCCAGGGACCAGCCAAGAGCCAACCAAGGACCAGCCAAGGGCCAGCCAGGGACCAGCCAAGAGCCAACCAAGGACCAGCCGGGGACCAGCCAAGAGCCAACCAAGGACCAGCCAGGGACCAGCCAAGAGCCAACCAAGGACCAGCCAAGGGCCAGTCAGGGACCAGCCAAGAGCCAACCAAGGACCAGCCAAGGACCAGCCAGGGACCAGCCAAGAGCCAACCAAGGACCAGCCAAAAACCCAACCAAGGACCAGCCAGGGACCAGCCAAGAACCAGCCAGGAACCAGCCAAGGACCAGCCAAGACCCAACCAAGGACCAGCCAAGACCCAACCAAGGACCAGCCAGGGACCAGCCAAGAACCAGCCAGGGACCAGCCAAGAACCAGCCAGGGACCAGCCAAGAGCCAACCAAGGACCAGCCAGGGACCAGCCAAGAGCCAACCAAGGACCAGCCAAGGGCCAGCCAGGGACCAGCCAAGAGCCAACCAAGGCCCAGCCAGGGACCTGCCAGGGACCAGCCAAGAGCCAACCAAGGGCCAGCCAAGGGCCAACCAAGGACCAGCCAAGGGCCAGCCAAGGGCCAACCAAGGACCAGCCAAGGGCCAGCCAAGGACCAGCCGAGAGCCAACCAAGGACCAGCCAAGGGCCAGCCAGGGACCAGCCAAGAGCCAACCAAGGACCAGCCAAGGACCAGCCAAGGGCCAGTCAGGGACCAGCCAAGAGCCAACCAAGGACCAGCCAAGGACCAGCCAGGGACCAGCCAAGAGCCAACCAAGGACCAGCCAAAGACCCAACCAAGGACCAGCCAGGGACCAGCCAAGAACCAGCCAGGAACCAGCCAAGAGCCAACCAAGGACCAGCCAAAGACCCAACCAAGGACCAGCCAGGGACCAGCCAAGAACCAGCCAGGAACCAGCCAAGGACCAGCCAAGACCCAACCAAGGACCAGCCAAGGACCAGCCAGGGACCAGCCAAGAGCCAACCAAGGACCAGCCAAGGACCAGCCAAGACCCAACCAAGGACCAGCCAGGGACCAGCCAAGAACCAGCCAGGGACCAGCCAAGAGCCAACCAAGGACCAGCCAGGGACCAGCCAAGAGCTAACCGAGGACCAGCCAGGGACCAGCCAAGAGCCAACCAAGGACCAGCCAAGAGCCAACCAAGGACCAGCCAAGAGCCAACCAAGGACCAGCCAGGGACCAGCCAAGAGCTAACCGAGGACAAGCCAGGGACCAGCCAAGAGCCAACCAAGGACCAGCCAAGAGCCAGCCAAGGACCAGCCAAGGGAAAAACCGAGGACCAGCCAAGCACCAGCCAAGGAGAGTGTGGAAATTTTGACTGGCTACTACTGTACCTTCAAATAATAAGGACGTTGAATCTTATCAGCACATTATGGGGCAGTAGGGTGATAAAGATACAAGTGTCAAAGTCTTTATTACCTCTTTACTGTCTTTCTAAGGTAAACATCTGCCTGTCACTGCAGGTCTCAGAAATCAAAGCCTCATTGAAAAATATGCAGTGAATTTTGTTCCATTATTGTTGCAAACAAGAAACATGTTTTGTAAAAAGAAATAAAAAATATACATATATCTAGAAATAAAAATTTGAAAAGCACAAGTATTTGATTTTTTTCACTAAGAAGGCACAAAGTAACTAAAGTTCAATATTTTTGTAGCTTTTAAAACGTAGTTAATCCTAAGTTATAATTTAGAAAATTGTTATCCCGATACCAATAAACGATATGATAAACTCCCAGCCTACTCTAAACACACAAACCCAGCAGCTTTAATTTCCTCTCTGCAGTGTGCGACCTCTGACCTTCTGTCCTTATCTTTTTTTCTGGACACTTGCCAATTAAATCTCCAGGATTATGCAACATCCTGTCCTAATCTGGCATGTTCTGTGTTCTAAACAGGGCTCAGCAGAACTGATATAGAAGATGTGATTTATTCAGAAATTTCTTAGATTAGGACTTCACTTCAGAGTTACAAGTAGATAAATTAACATAACAGGGAAGACAATTTAGGTTCAAGCTTAGAGCTTTGTTAGCTTATAAAACAATATTATCCAATCATTAACACAAGCACTACAGCTGAAAACCGACCAGGAAGTGTTTTTTCACCTAAATTAACAAGCTGGACAGGAAGAGGATTAATGGGAGGAGCAACAAAAGAACAGATGGTTGCTCTGGAAGACCTGCAGACATAATAAATAGGTGGACAACTTCTGTAAAAATACAACCAAAGCTTAAAAGAAATGGTTATAATGGTCCAATCAGAGCCTGATCCCCCAGAATCAGAGACAAGAATGAACACCGATACTAACAGACGTCCTCCGTCCAATCCCTAACGAAGCTCAAGAGAAAATGAGAAGCTTTTTTATCATAGTCTTCCCCCAGGTTGTCGTTCTGCCACACAAAAATCCAAAGGTTTGTGATTGTAATTTGACAACATCTGAAAATCCTCAACAGGAGTAAAGCCCTCTGAAATTTACTGTATGTATATCCATATTGTTTAAATGCAGCAAGTGACTTGTTTAAAACTGTCCCTCAGGGCTGGTATAAAGCTCAAGGGCCAAAATATACCTTAAAAGTTTATTTAAAAGTTCATTTTTGGTATAAACATTGGTCATTAAAAGCCTTCAGTCCCTTTTTTGAGTCAACAGCAATGAAAAAGTTTTATAAATCCGCATCTGATTCTCTGCTGGTTATCCATGCTTTTCTCTGAATGAGGATTTGAAGGCAGAAACACAGCCATGCAACAGAGATTTACTTCTTAGTAAAGCAATCAGTTCCCCTGAGAAGGCTCCATGAAGGAAAAGGACTGTGGGACCATTATCGCTCATGCCTACTGTGAAGCAGAAGATCATACGTGATCTTCAGGGTTGTAGACTTTTTCCCCTTAGCTCCTTTAACCGGTCATGATTGTTTAAAAAATCTACATCAATGCTAATCTGCTTCACTTAAAAACACTTTTCTGGAGCATTTATTTAAAAAGATCATCAGTTCTGATCATTTGCACATTTTACACAAATCAAACCCTTTGAGTTTTTTTAAACTTATCAAAACTTTTTAAACTTATCAAAAGACCTGCTTCAAACAGGTGGATATCATGCAGTCCCTACCATCTTATTTTCTCCAATGTGCCAGTCCGGCATAAATAAAGCAACGTCTGCTGGTAGTTTTATGCTTAATCATTAACTGAACTGTGTGCTAATATTGCCCTGGTCTGCAGCTCATAGAGTAGAGTCTTTCATTTAGAGGGTCATTTTAGGTTTCCCCAACTTCAGTGGAATTTTTTTATTCCACATATTACTCTGGAGTAAACAAGGAAACTTAGCGGAACAAGTCCTGTCTTGTTATGAGAGTATGTATGTTGCTTGATTTTCTCACACTGTCAACAAGACCTAAGCATTGGGAACAATGAAGTGGAATGTTGAAACATGTTAGGATATATATACATGTATACATATATGTATACATACATGATATATATATATATATATATATATATATATATATATATATATATATATATATATATATATATATATATGTGTGTGTGTGGGTTGTGACATGGGTTTGGGAGGTTGTGCAGTAAGCTTACCTGCTGACTTCAGGCTGAGGTTTTCTTTGATCTCTTCGTGGTCACATGGGTGTGTGAAGTCAAAGATGCTGTGACCTGTGAGTTCCACCTGATAGAAAAACATAAGAAAATGTATTCAAATGTATCCAGTCTATAAAACTGTTCAATATAAGCACATTAACCAAATTATTTTCACCAAAGCAAAAACCATCAGATTCTGGGTAATCACAGACTTTGCTTCCTTTCTTTGGAGATTCATTTTGAAACCAGAGAAAGAAGAGAAATACTGACTGTGATTGGAGCAGAAACTGTCTCATCTTTAGAGGACAAGGAGCTGAAATCCAACAAAGCTATTTGGTGACAGCCTTATGAATGCTATCCACTCCATGATTCATGTTTTTAAACTTTAAAAATAATGGAGTAATACTAAGAGAGCTCTGTTAAACTTCATTAACACTTAAAAACACTTTCCTGAAATAAAAATAAAATCTGCTCAACTATAGATAGCCGAATAAAAAAATTAAATCTAGCCACTGTCCTATTTAACACAAAGACATAAACTTTTGTTAACTTAAAAAAAGAACGTCCAATAATAATAAAATTAAGTTGCAATGTATTTTTGAATATTCTTCTGAACAGTCAGGAATCAAAGCAACATTTTAAGGACATGTTGTTTTTGTTTTTATGTATGTTTAATGCAAACAAAGACAGAAAACTACAGTAAAATACACGAGATAAGGAATAATCAACAAGTCATATCAAAACAGAGAGAAAACATGCTAATATTGGCATTGGCTTCAGCTAACTGTATTTTTATTCAATGTAATGTAATAAAATGTAGTGAGCAGGATGTGTTTAAAGATGACTGTAGCTGTAAACAACTGGTCCAGTTTTTTGTTTTTTTTTTGTTTTATTAGGACCAAAGTTTGGGCTAATTTCTTACCTTTAAAATTAGCAAAATAAATCCTGACAAGGAAAATACTAGTTTTTCTAGTTACTTAAAATGATATTGTTTCATTTTCTTTAGTTTAATTGTACTTTACATGTGACTGCAGTAATATTTATCACTGAGGTTGAACAAGTCTACAATAGATTATATTGTCTTTCTTGGGTGACTAATTTTGTTTCTTTATTATATGATGAATAATAAGATGTTGTCAATCAGTGTTGAGAGACTGATGGGTTTCTGTTTGTAATTTCAAATTAAATCAGAAGTTGTATTTAGCGTTAGTGTCTTGTTATGCTGAAGCTGCTGTTTGTCTGTGTTCTCAGCTACGCTGTTCCCTCACACTGCTTGGGTACCTGCGTGAGGCCCATGAATTTGTTGATGTTCTCAGACAGGAAGATCATGTCTCCATCTGATGTTACCACGGTGACAAAGCCCTCCAGAGATTTCAGGTACAGGTTGTCCATGAGTCCATCCTCGGCTTGGTTGCAGCTGCCGCAGCCTGGGAGCAGAGGAGATTATTTCTGTCACTATCAGTGGAAATCTTTTCCCAAGGGCTTTTTTCCCCCTTTGATACAAATAAAACTCCTTCAGACTTCAGTACAATATTTGCAAACTGTCCAAGCCTTTATAACAGCTGCCAAACTACAACTCACACATTATGCAATTATGTTCAAATATGCTTAGTGTAGTATGCAAACATTTACACAGAGCGACTCCGGTCTGTCCACGAGGTCTCATTTCAGAGATAATTGATATAAAAACACTTCTAGCACAGTTCAGAGGGGACTCTATGTGTGTGTGTGTGTGTGTGTGTGTGTGTGTGTGTGTGTGTGTGTGTGTGTGTGTGTGTGTCTGGACAGCAGCTTCAAGCTGAACAAAGCCCAGTAGTTGGTTGGGGCGGAGGGTGGGAAGTTTGCAGTTCCTCTTCTGTGCTTCCCTGAGATAAGAGGAGAGCCGTTCTCAATACTCCCGTAGAGGCCTGAGTATCGAGTTTGGACCCAGGCCCGCTCAGCGCAAACTCCCACAGGGGCTTTCTCATGGGGCCGCAGAGCCCAGAGCAGTTCTCTAGGACCCTGATCTGAAGAAAAAGTGCCACCTTTGGCCTACATACTGAACTTAGCCGTGATCACAATTCATTTGGACCAAGTTGCACTTTCCTCCCCTCTGTTGTTCCTCAGTTGTGTAACCGACCTCGTTTGAAAATAATTGGGTGTCCGACACGCAGCTGCAGGACTGACAAATTCCCTCCTATCTTGACATTTGAACCGCTGCCTTATACAGAATACAGCAGCAGGATAGATTTTCTGTCTCAAACTGCAACAAGATGCAGAATTTGACTCAAACAGCAAGAAACATGAAAGGAAGGAGGGTGTGTAACTCCCAACAAAAACTGACGGAAACCTTGATAACATCATCTGCGCTCTGATGTGGGCTTAGGGGACCCAGGCTCATATTGGATGTTTTCTTTGAAGGATTTCATATCAAAGGAAAATAAATATAAGAAAATACCTTCTTAAAAAAAAGTAGATTTGAAAAATTTAAAAGAGGGAAGACAAATAAATAAAAGCAAATATTGAATGCAGAAAGTTTTTGATTTAAAAAAACATACATCTTCTTTAAACTTTAGTGTATCCATTGAGATATTAAGAGTAATACTTTTCCACCTAGACATAAATAAACAATGTGGTAAAAGGATGAAAGTCAAAAAATAAAAGGAAACAAACACTGTTGTCTGGATACTTTTAAACATTCATAATTTAGTAATAATTTATCTTTGTTGTTCAGTTTTCCTTCTTTAAAACCAAATAATGAGCAAGTTAAAATTAGACTGTTGCTCATTTTCACTGAAACCTTGGTTTCAATTTGTTATCAATTAAACTAATTAAATAAAAAACAAAAACTGGTTTCTAAAGCAGCAAAGAGGCTGAGAGCAACAGGAAGGAATATTTCTTTGACAGAAATCTGCGATCTACGTGTGACGACTGTCTCCAACGTCTTACATCTAACATGATTTATAAAAGAGGTTTCAATTGTTGGACGATCGAATGAAACCATCCCACAAATTCTTGAGCTACATTTCGAAAACACTGTATGGCTGTGAAAAAAGCCTAAAACATGACCACACCCATAGGGAAACATGGGGGTGGTGGCGTCATGCTGTGGGGTTGCTTTACTTAAGGCAGAAATTAGACTTTTTCCAATCTAGATTGAATAATTACACAGTTCTAAAGAATATATCCAGCACCTTCTGGGATCTGTTTGAGATCTAAAGATGAAGAGGATTTTTTCTAGTTCACACAAAGTTAAAGGACAAATACAAATCAACCAATCTAGAACTATAATCAATAGATCATCTGTAAGCTACCTTTAAAGTCTACAGGTGGCAGTTTTAAAAACCTCTACACTGCAAAAAATATAAATCTCAATAAGTTATTTTTTCTTAAAATAAGTGTGTTTTTTCTTGATTTGAGGAGGTAAGTAAGACACTTTGCCAATGGAACAAGACAATTTCCTTTTAAAATAAGAAAAAACAATTTTATCGTCTTATTTCAAGTAAATATTATCTAACTATCTTATTTTAAGAGTGAAAATACTCATTCCATTGGCAAATCATCTTATTTACCTGCTCAAATTAAGGCTAAATATACTTAATTTAAGCCATTTTTTACTTATTTCTGGATTGTTTTTGCAGTGTACAGTGTAGAGTATACTCAAACTGGTGCTGAGTAATGTTCATTACTTCCTCCCCAGAAGAATCACATTTAAAATCATTAATCTAAGGATATCATTGCTGCTCTAATCAGGTTTTTATAGTTTAAGTAATAATTTCCATTTATCAATAAACAAATGTGGTTGTTTTTCAGTGCATGTTCCGACTTCAAACAGGGTAGGCATCAAAGTAAAGAGTGAATCAAAGTTTGTAAATGATTAAATAAGATCATCACAAAACCTGTTAGAAAAATATTTCATCTAAGAGCTTCATCTCCTAGTGAGCTCATCTTAAGTAACCCGAGGTGTTTTTTCACAGCAGCTCGCTATCACTGCCTTTGCATGTGCTGATGTGCTGCTCGTGCATGGCCGTGCACGCCAACAGGGGATGGCGCCACGGCAGTCGGCTGTTATGGCTGGTGGGGATAATGCCAGCACCAGCCGAACGATGGGCAGAGCTCTCTGCTTCCTCTCTGGTATCTCCCCACTGCATCACGGAGCAATCAGAGCGTCGTGATAACGTTATCTGCCGCTGCATCGCATGGATCTCCCTGTTCTCTCCTGCCCTCTAACCGGCTTCTTTCCTCCTGCTCACTTTCTATCCGTCCTCCTACATCTCTTCTTCTGCACCCGTCTTCACAGAATTCCGCGTTTAATGCGGTGATCAAACTTGAATTTCAGGAAAGGTTTGGCTTAATTTAAACAACATTAAGTTTCAGGCCCTGATGTTTGGGTGCTAGAGGATGCTTCAAAAGCAGATATCTTTAAATCTTGGGAAACAAAACAGAAACCACCATTAAAACCATTTTCCCCCTTTCTGAGCTAATTTAAAACAAGTTTCCTACACATTTCTGTGGGCTGATGTTGATTCAACTGAAAAAAAAATTATGCTGTAGATTTAAAAAGTTTTTTAAAATTTAATTTGTGGTTTATTTTATTTTATGTTTTTCCAAATTTCCATTTACTATCAAGATCTTTGATGACAATAATAATGGAGCAAAACTCACTCCATAGAAAACCTGTTGATTTGAGTCCTTATTAACAAATCTAAATCTGTATGGGCTGCATAAGAGTCAAACGGTGGGGTGGGGGAATTGGGGGGCTGGCCGTTGGTGGGGGGCTGTGTTTTAGATCTCAGGTGTAATAAACCTCACAAATAAATATAATATCTTTTATAATGTTGCAAGATTTTCAAACACAAACATAAATGACATTGATAAATGAGATGAACTTAGATTGGGATTATATGGCCAAAATTTATATCTAAGCAATATAATTCTGCTATCAATATTAACAAAATAAAAGCCTTAGAAAGAACAGATGTCTGTACAAACTTTGGCTTGTTTATAAAACTCCACCAATATACCATCAATCTATAAAATACTTACAAACAAATAAAACTGCATCAAACCCAGGATGTCAGTAAGAACTGTTGTTATTATAGACTGATATGTATATTTAGATATTGAATATTTAATTTTGCCGTTACTAGATAAAATTGTATGGCATTACATATTGATAATGAATTATTGCTTCACTCTAATTTAACTATATTTGAACAGTCAAACGAAACTTTAAAAATAACGTAACATTATAGCAGACTCTTTTGGGAAAAAATACCACTCATAAAAACAATAAAGGCACTATAGATTAATCTATGTGCACATTTATTTGATTGTTTGTATGTCTTATCTTGAATTGTACCATTATTTATAAAATAAAAGCCTTGTTAATGCCAAATGAGTCCCATTCAGCAGCTTTAGGACGACGTAAAGGATTTCTTTGATTAATGAAGGTGATCAAACCTGAAGCAGGGGTAAGTGTTTGTTCATGAAATAGAAACAGAACATCAAAAGGTCCATATGAGCAGAATGACGGCAGATTAAAATGGCGGGCTAGATTAATGGGTAACATTAAGCTCTTGTGTAAATCAAAATGATTTCCTGTTGGTCTGACATGTTTGGTTTTTAGAATTGTTGAGCTGGAAGTTATTGTTCAGAGAAACAAGAGCGGCGTCATTAAGTACAGGAAGCCCCTGGTCTATAAAAAAAGCATGTGAATTATATAATAAATATAACATCTGTCTGTGGAGCATTCAGCTTTTATATTGGTGGTAATATTTCAACCCTGAGCACCAATTCAGATAATTCTTCTGTATGTTAACTGAGATTTAATGACCAACACAAGCTAGTGCATAATCAAAAATGGGAAACAAAGGATAGGAGAACTGATATTTATAGATGCGCCAAACACTAACAGGACGTCTGGGTTTCCCTGAACATCGCATCATCCATCCTCCAATCAGCTCGGACCCTACTGAGGAAAAGCATCCCCACATAATGATGCCGCCACCACCATGTTCCATTCTCCTGTGGATTCAGGGTGAAGAATATTGCAAAACATGTATGTTATATGTATGTTTAAGGTGAATAAGATCAGGCAAAAGAATTAAAGAAACAAATACTTTTATACAAAAATACTTTTTGAAGGAACATTTAAGACTTTACACTTTAGAATCTGAAGGACAAAAGTTACTCTTTGGTGTTTTTTTAATTATGTAAACCTAAATAGTCTAAATACCTTTTTATAACTATTATAAAATCTAACAACCTTTCCCTGTTTAATTATGTTAGAAAGGACTTTCTCTCCATGGCTGACGGAGCACTAAAATGCATCCTACTGGTGTAAGTTTGCCTTTTCTCCCTTTAAAAGCTTCTCCAATCAAAACCTAGAGACAATCATCTGGCACTAACTGACATTAAGGCCGCCCTCCCTCTGCACAGACACCGCAGACATGTTTGATTTGATGTTTGGATGAAAAGTTTGTTGTTTTTTTTCAGTGGAAAAATAAACATAACATGATAGTTACACTTAACAATCCCACTTTTTACTTTAAATGAACAACCTGGGTCTTTTATTTCCTCCATTCTTTGCTTTGGGCTGAATGAGCAAAGAAAAGGTTGTTTTTTGTTGTTTTTAATGTTTGGACATTGACCACTGATGTTACAGATGTTTAATTGAGTTTCCCTTGGATCTAATTTCAGGAGGCCAAAGAAGAAGAACAATAAATCTGCTGCTTTTTTTGAATTTCCTCAGGTTCTAATTTTCCTGAGATAAAGAGAGAAGAAGAAGGCGGAGGGAAAAATAAGTCCCACGGCCCAACACTCCCACCCACACTGGATGTAAGAGAACCTCTATTTGCATTTTTTCCCTTTGTGAAGCTCCCACCTTCTTGTGTCTCTGCGTGTGTGTTCATGGTTGTGGCGAGCAGTTTGCGCGTGCGCAGGAAGCTGATGGCCAGCCTCATGATGGAGGCCTTGTCCAGGTGAGCGCTGACGCTGTGTGGTAAGGGCAGCTGGTGGGCCAGCTCGTAGAACACCTCCGTCTCCTTGCTCCTTCTGCAGCGAGCCGCATCGCGGGACTTTTCCTTACGCCGCTCTGAGCTGCTCCTTCACCACAGAAAAAAAACAGAAACAGAAAACAATCATAAATCTGCCACCCATGAGAGTTAGCTTCAGACTTTCCTAACGCTTCATTCATCAAGCTGCTTCTTATCGATGGTAATTGTAATAATTGGGCCTAAATGGGCTCGTTGTTTTGGGGTATTTCCATTTCCTAAATGCTCTCTGCTGCAGGCAAAAATCACCATCTATAAATCCCCACGCGATTCAACAGGCATTAAATGCAACACAGAATACAGCCTTCAATAAGCTGAGGTACTTGTACTTTACTGTATTAATTTTTACTTAAGTATTATTCTTGTGAGAGCATCCTACTTTTACTTGAATGAATGTTCTGGTTACTCCACCCAGAGCATAGATCAGTAGAAAAAACTGAAAACTATGTAAACATTAGTTATTTTTATTTATATGATCAAATAAATGATCATTTTCTTCCTTCCATCCAGGGTGACAGGATGTCTCTATTTTTGCAGGACGATGCTGCATTTTTCCCTTGTGTCCTGCCATCTCCCAAATCCAAGCAATGTTCACATTTGACTGGATCAAATTAGAAAAAAACAGTCAAATATATTTGCAGACACTTTTCCTAAATGCAAAGAAAGCAGAAATGCAGCCATTGTCTCAGAGATGCACCAGTACCCCACGGCATCACCAAGCTGCACAGCATGCTCTACAACCTCAAGTAAAGGATTTTAACAGAAAATGATAAACTTATTTTGAAGCAAATTAAAACAGAGCCACAGCAAAGACAGTGGAACAGATTATAACTCTGAGCTCAGCAATTCTTTTTAATGAAGTTATTTTTCAATTGAGGGAAGCGTGTGTAAAAGAAATCCACAGATGAAAAAGCCTAATCAGTCCTTCATAAGCATTGTTTTTAGATCCAGCCATCCCATTTCCATCATTGGTTGAAATCAAAACAAGATTCAAAACACAACAAAAAAGGCCTGCTTAGAGAGAACACACACATTTCACATCGATAAGAAAATGAGAATGTAATATGAATATATAAAAGATATGTATTTGTTTCTAGTAAGTTCATACATACATGTGACTTGTAGATCTTTAATCTGGTATAATGTAGAAAATGAAGAAATGATGAAGAAATTGAACAAGTTGCCTTTTTAAAAGGATGAATCTAAAATCCTGAGGTTGTTACACTCCTGACCAGTGGGTGGCAGTAATGCAGCTAAAAGTTGTTCTACCAATAAAAACACAACGCCCACCCTAACCGCTATATAGGCACAGTGTATAGAGCTTATACACCATTCTATATCAGTGTCCGAATGTCTAGTGGATGAAAAAGTGGACTAAACATTTCCCACAATGCACCTTAAAAAGTAGTATACGCTGTCATTGCCCGATCCGTCCCGTAAGCACAATCCGGACCATCAGCTCATTCGCGCAACCAGATATACATCCACCAAAATCTTTTCTGTTCTATCACTGGTCTGATCTGTAAAGGAAATGGGATCCTATGAAGCAAACAAAAATTTAGTCTTTTTGAGTTTAATGTTTTCCTTTCCTGTTAAAGGAATAGTACACCCAAAACATGATTAGCCTTCATTTTCTACTCACCTCCATGCTGAACAACACTCTGGAGTACTTTTCTGATATCTCAAATGCATCTGGAGATCTGGGAGGCTTCTTGCTGTCTGCTGACATTCAAATAAAGGAGGTCTATGGCGCCCGAGACAGAAATGTCCATAAAAGTCCACAAAAACGTGTCAATATTCCTCCATACTGCTCGTCCAATGTATTCCAAGTGTCCTGAGTGGGTAGTATCCATAATTTACTCGAAACAAAGTCATTTAGAATGTTTTTAGAGCATAAACAGTAGTGTATAGGATTTCCTGAAAGCGCGCACCTGCGCGTTCACGACGCTACGGAAGCCGGCAGACCAAACCAGCGCATTCAGCTCGGCAAAGAACTCCTGCTCTTCCTCAACACTGAAGTCCTCAGACATTTTTCTTTCGTTGTTTCTTTCTTTGCACAGGTAAACAGCACATTTCTTCTGCTACGCTTGCATTATCGGCAGAGCAGACGCTGAATGCGCACTTTCATCTGGTTTGGTCTGCCGGCTTCCGTAGCGTCGTGAACGCGCCGGCGCGCGCTTTCAGGAAATCCCATACACTACTGTTTATGCTCTAAAAACATTCTAAATGACTTCGTTTCGAGTAAATTATGGATGCTACCCACTCAGGACACTTGGAATACATTGGACGAGCAGTATGGAGGAATATTGACACGTTTTTGTGGACTTTTATGGACCTTTCTGTCTCGGGCACCGTAGACCTCCATTATTTGAATGTCAGCAGACAGCAAGAAGCCTCCCAGATCTCCAGATGCATTTGAGATATCAAAAAAGTACTCCAGAGTGTTGTTCAGCATGGAGGTGAGTAGAAAATGAAGGCTAATCATGTTTTGGGTGTACTATTCCTTTAACATTATGCTATATGTTGCGTAATCTACAGAAAGAAACAAGTGAAATGCAGATAAACATGGTTTAATCTTATTTTGCCGGACTGCTCTGAGAAAAAGTCAGAAAATATTTATAAAGATGTGTAATAGCATTCTTTAGTGATAGAATTAAGTCATCTTAATAGCATAATTACATTATTTATGGAAACCCGGATGAGCAAATGAGCCGATGGTACGGATGGTGCTTCCAGGACGGATCGGGTAACGACATACATCCATGGTCACTAGACAAGCAGACATATCCCAGAATGCTTTGGAAGCCAGGGTTAGGCTCTCATGTGATTTGTTTTGGGTGCGAGAGAGAACCGTGTGGAGAGTCAAAGTCAGATGTTCAACGGGGAGTGAAAAGTAGTGATCATCTGTCCAAACAGCCAGTGAACTGAGTGCACTATAAAGCTCACTGTATAGTCCCTGCTCTATATAGTGAGGGAGGGGTTTGGGGTTATGGGAGACATTAAAAAAGCCATGGATTGGAAGTTATACCTTTGCTGAAATGTTGTTTTCGACACATGCAGATTATAACCTGAGATTAATGGTTCAGTTTTCCTCTTCTTCTCATTTGAAGGAGGTTAAGAGATACCTTAACGGCTAATTACTGCCACCCACTGGTCAAAAGCTGTAGTTTTTTTGTGTTGCAAAGCTCTTACTTTTATTCATGATTTTCTAAGTTTTCACAGTTGAAACTTTAATTTGCATCAGTTTACAACAAGGAACAAAAACAAGTGATTTACATGTACGTGCTCAGACATCGCACACTCATCAAGCAACGTTTTTTTCTGTTTTATCTGTTGAAGCTGCCTTATAGTCGACAGCAACGTCAAATCGGCCCTAACCATTTGTTCTCAGAGATCACCCTGACATGCACGACTACTCCTACCGCCTTTCAGTTTTCCTGTCAAATTTTTGTCAGTGGTTTTGCTTCAGTTATCTCCTGATCCCAGCAAGAGGAAGAAGCTCCTTTGAGCGGTTCTGCAGGTTTTAGAGGGACAGAATAGTTTCATGCATCAGGGAAAGACAATGAAAGCACCAGATATAGACTGTAAGCGTTTTATCTTTTGACTTGTCATTGTTTCATTACGTCAAAGCCATTGAACTGATTGATGAGTGTCATCAACTGATGATGAACTGAAGGTCAAATTACACAAGACAGTAACTTAAATGAAAGAAAGCAAACGTCACTGCTGTTGCTGGACGGATCTGTTTTCTGTCACTGTTTGTTTATTTGTGTTGATTGTGATTGAGAAACACATGTTAGGGAGAAATCTGAGAAAGGAGGGGAGGGATACGTGTTTGGAGTCCATCAACCAACGTACCGAGCTCATGTTCCTGTTCAGGTGAAATTAGCTGAAACAGAACGAGATTGGTTTTTAAAAGCGGACTACCACTTAAAGACGCAGCCAGGTGATTATTTCCATTTTCCTGCTTTACTCAGTCTAGCTCAAAGACGTCATAAGGTTAAAAATATGCGTGTGAATACTGTTTTAACTCCAGCAAACATGGTTTGTGTCAGATAACACCAGTTAGCTTATCTTTTTGTGATTTTCAACAGATTTATCCAGCTTATGTTAAAAGTCAAACAGATAGTCCAGAGGTCTCCCATCCAAGTCAGCAGCACCAAACCCCACCACCCCCCCCACCCCCTTATCATACTAGCAGATATATAGAATCTGATTTCTGAAATATTTAGGTTCATATTTCAACATCTTGGCTCCTTTTATGCAGTCTATAGTGTATTCATGAGGAAAAAGGCCCGAGCGCCGGAGCAAAGGGTGGAAGAATGAGGGCTCATAACCGATGACGTCACCCTGATGGGTTCACCCACCAAGACAAGCAGCGACCTGCGGGGAAGCTGCAGAACACTTATGTAAAAAGGAGCAGTTACCAACAGGACATGTAGGAACGGACAATGAAGCTCCTGACATGTTAGTCTGCTCACCTCAAGCACAGGTTATCAGATGCTCTGCGGTGAGCTTCTTCTATTGTTCACTCAAAAGCCTGAAGAAATATTACAGTGTTTCATCACTGTGCATAAGGTAGTAAACAAGACAACAAAAACACTGTTGAAAGAAAGAAAACATCATTTTATTTGTTGGGTTTAAATCTGTTATAATGGGAGGCCAGAAGAAGCAGCAGTATCACCAGATCTTTAACTGTACTGAGTTTAAAACAGAAAAAGCAACTCCTTAAAAGCAAACATATCGTCTCTGATAAACATTAAATCATTTCTACAACATTTAGCCGCTGTAAAGCAACGTTTTAATGACGTCTTTATGTTTTTGTCTTGAACCGAGAACTTCGTTGGACAGACAGGGGGTTACTTTAATGCTCTCTATTAAATTAGCATTGATTCTTTTTTATATTTGTGGTATAATTACTGAATATCAAACATACATTTACAGCATGTACATCTATGGTGCATTCAGTGGAAAGATGCATAGGAAAAAGCAAAGAGCTAAAATATGTCAGATAAAATGTTAATGTTGACTTTGGTGGATGAATGAATGAAT